AAACATAAGTTCTTTAGCAGCAGAGAAAAAAAGAATTGTGATATACATTTAAAACTACTCCAATTTAAGGTTACTTTTTTGCCTAAATTTAAAAAGCTGTTATTACAGTTATCTTAGAGGCAGTAGTAGAATTTTCCCAGTTAGTATACAGATGAAGAAATGATTATAAATAAATGTGCCTTAAAAAAACTCTATATTAAAAGAGAACAGCATCTTATCTATTACTTTTAAATTACTGAGTAAATATTATTAACTTTTTAAATGTTCAGCATAAAATATGTATATACAACAGTAACATCATCTCTTCCAAATTATATTTATCTTTCACACACTAAATTTTAAACACTGGTTCTTCAAATTAAAAACTCCAACTTCTACATTAAGAATTGCATTTCTGCAGTCAGTGTCAACATGGCTGTACTTCTCACTTCCTGTTTCAGGGGGGAAAAGCTATGAGATAGCCCTTGTCTTTTAAGACCTGTTTTTAGCTACATATAACTGCATTTTGCTCAATTTGTGCATGGCTCCCAAATTTAATATCAAACATCTCAGCCAATTTTTATTGCATTGGAGCAAAATTTTATGTTTGATTTTTTATAATGAACACAGAATTTTCCTAAATTAAAGGCACATGTAAAAAGTTAAGATTTCTTTTTTTATATGAAATTATTTTTCTTTTAATTTAAAAATAAGAAGACATCAACTTTTGCATCATTATAAACATTTTTGTTATTGGAAGTATATTTTTATGAGCAACGGTTGTAAAAATAAAAGCCAGGTAAGGACTCTTGTGGACACAGTGTGTAATTTTTTTTTGGGGGGGGGACAAGTAAATGATATTATTGGGCAATCCAATATAACATAAATACATAAAATAATGTAAAAGTATAAACTGTGACATAATAAACACTGAAAAATATTAAACTCTTAAATTATTTGAAGAGTATGTTTATTTTATTCAACAAGCAAAAAACTTATAAATAATACTAAATAATAATAATAAATAAATAAATAAATAAATATAATAAAAAATTAGAATTTTATAAATCTTACAAGGTGATTAAATATGCAGGGGCGGGGAGATATTGAATTCCTAATCAAATTCATATAACATTACATTTAATTACATAAATGTAATCAATTTTAACTTCAGTATCAGGATAATTTTTTTTTAAATGTTTGTGATATAGTTCAAATTAACCTACCTACCTTAGAAATCTGATTAACCTTACTTAGCTTTTAAAACTCTGCATTTGCAGAGGTAGATTACATAATTGCAGCTATTTGTACTTTGCTTAGCAACCTACACCTCAAATGTGACAATTAACTCAGATGTCTATTGGCATTATTTTTACCTCAAATGCAAAATTTATTTCTGAAAGTCCATATTTTCTATAACACCATTAAATTAGGCATCAAAGTTCAAAAGTAAACAAATGTTTAAAAAACATCTTTTAAGATTTTTCTTAAATTCAGTTCCTGATGGTAAACACAGCTGTTTATTTACTTGTGTATATTGTTACTTTATTACTTTAACTGTTTATTTACTCGTGTATATCACTGCAGTAATATTATTAGAATTAGAGTAAAAGTCACCATAACAACATCTGAAAAGTAAAAGGTTCATATATTTGGCATACAGTTAACTCAATATAATAATAATCATGTTTTCCATTCTCCTAGTTACATCATGTTACATTATACCCTTATATTATGATCTATTTATTTTCTTTATAAAGCATTATTTACCAACAAAGTACAAAATAACACATTGTTTGAAAACAGATTAAATGATTTGAACACGACATGCATATTTTTAATATTATTACACATACATATTAGCAAAATTACTAGAAGATATTTCTAACATTATTTACTTTGTATCTCTACTACTATAAAATTTCCATTCGCAGTTATTAAGAGTGTATTTGTATATCCTGATTCATTGATCAAAAAAAGAGTTTTGCACACTTAAACAAACTTCATGAAATACAGCACTTATTTCTTTTAAGAAAAACAACTACTTATAAAGATTATACATAGCATGGTCAATAATTAGGTTACAAATGGTTATAGAAATAAAACTGCATGAAATACTTAAAAAACAATTTTATTTTTCCACATAATTTCCACCTGTATTGCGACGTATTACTTCAAAGTATGAAAGTCTTAACACTTGGTGCACCCAAGTCTTTTGACTGCTGCTGCATATACATAAAGCTGTGCCTTTCTGAGCCTTGGCACTGTCATGAAGGAACACAGTGACTCAGTTAATTTTAGTAAACACTCAAAACTGCAACTTTACATCACAGTATTATGACAATTACACTCGCATTTAACCTCTGGAAATGGATAAGCAGCATAAGAAACACACATCAGCCCACTGTTATACTAATGTACAGAGATCAGCCCACTAATATACTAATGTAACATTTTTTAACGAATTTTGCAAAGATTTCTATATAAACAAACCTTAATTGTATTTTCTAATATGTTCAGTCTGATAACCCTTTTGTTGAACTATCATATTACATCTTGATTTCCAAGATAAAAGTGCTTTTCTTAAAACATCCAGGTTGACTTTATTCCATGCCTCCTTCACAATCTTCCATAGCCCATCTGGTGTTTTGGAATGTCGTTTATAAAGAGCTTGTTTTAAAAGTCCAAATGGACAGTAATCCATAGAAGACACATCAGGAGACTTGGATAAGATGCATTTAAAAGAAATAGCTTCGATTCCGGTTTCCTTTCTCCTTTTTTTTCAAAAAATAGAGCAGTAGATTTAGAGGTATGGCTTGGAACCTTATCCTGATGGAACTTAATGTAGCAAATATTAATTTATTTGTCAAACAACAAAAATCAGCATTACATTTTCAAATTTTCACTGGACTAGTTTTGGTGGTTTTACTGAACCATCATCCTCAGCTGCAAAAGTGCAAATGAATGAGATAAGATATAATGATTAGAAAAGATATGATAAGAAAGTCTGGACAGGAGATAAGCTACTGGCGCCATCTGCTGATGAAACCAGAATTAAAACATAATTCCTTTAAAGACTGAAGACAAAGATGAATTGGAATTACAGTTGTTAACTAGAACAGAAAGATTTTTTTTTTTTTAAATGTGAAATGCCTCTAGAAAATCCAGTTCACAAATGAAAGATGTTTTTTGAATAATTTTGGCAGCAGAAAAATTGAAAGTTTGATTTTCGGACCAACAATGCTGGGCAACAGAAGACTTTTGTGTTTCCTTTTTTCTAACATATGCTTCATGTTCCTTAACACAAAATTTTAAGGCTCTCTCAGTTTGGCCAATGTAAATTAAACCACACTGGCAAGGAATCCTGTAAATACCCCAGGAATTCCTATCCGGAATGGGGGTCCTTCAGTATGGAACTCGGAATTTTATTGATAGGAGAATAAACGACCCAAAAGTTAAATTTCTGCAAAATAAGTGCAACTTTATAGCTAATTGAAGGTAAGGGAATGACAACAGAATTTTTATAATCTCCTAAAACAAGAGTGTGCTGTTTTGGTGTGTTGAGAGGAGAATTTTTTAACTGCTTGATTAATAATGTTGAGAGAAAAGCCCCTGTCAATAGGTATTGTTTTTAAATAATTTAGTTCTAAATCAAGGGATAGCCTGGAGGAGCAAACTTGAAGAGCACGGAAAACAGGAATAAAATGAAGCTAACTTTTGTTTAGTCAGATGACACGATTTGAAGTGTGGTGGAAGGCAAACCAATGAAAGTTTACGGTAAACCGTAGTACTGAAGTTGGATGTGTTACGTGTGAATAGAATGTCGAGAAACGGAAGAGAATTGCAAGTCTCAAGTTCAAAAATGAACTGAATAGCAGGATCAATGGAATTCATTGTTGAAAGAACTTTATTTAAATCATCTTTATTACCTTCAAACAGGGTAAAAGTATCGTTTACATAGCGCAGTGTTTCTTAACCTTTCTAGCGAGTCGCACCCCATTGAATCTGAAAATATATCTCCGCACCCCACTGAAAAATGTGTTTTAATTTTTTTAGTCTAGAAAAATACATTTTTTGCGAAACTTATTGTTTATTGGAAAACATTGTACATTTTATATAAATACAAAACAATATTATTTTTAGTAATGACTAGTCTGTTGTTGTTTGTTCATTATTATACTGGCGAAGCGAGGTTCCTTTTTTGAAAGACATACGCGTAAGTCATCACTTGCATTTAAGCGATTTTTCGCTTTAGTTTTTATATGCGAAAGCGATGAAAATCCCATTTCGCACAAGTAGGTGGTAGCAAAGGGTAAGAGTAACTGCAGTGCTCCGTTCGCCAACTCTGGATAACGTTGTAATTGTGAACACCAGAATTGTTCCAATTCGAATTGTGCGAATTCCATTTGAACATGTCCACTTGCTCGCATTTCAATAAGTTGATCTTTTTTCAGATCACTATCATCCATCAAATTTAAGTCAAATAGAAATGGATCTAGTATCCATCTCTGAGTTTTAGTAATATTTCCGGTAGAAAAATATCCATTGAATGATTCGCTCAATCGTCTCAAATGTATTACAATGTAGGGTATAATTGTATTCTTTTCATTTTTCGCAGAGTTCTCTATGTAGACCCCCGGGAGGGGGGTCAGTATATGGTAATTAGTACATTAATTAAAAATCATAATAATAAATAAGCATTAAAAAGTAAATTACATACACAATAAAAAGCATCAGAAAATGACAATCCACTGTGCCCTAAAAATATTTTCAAAAGTGGTAGTGATAAACCACAATTGATTTAGATTGCTATTACCTAATTACAACTATTTAATACAGCTTAGTGAAAGAAACATTTAACAAATATATAACTTTAAAAAATTTATAAATGAATTATTAAACCTCAGCACTAAATGTTTATTTCCATATTTTAAAATTATATTCTATTTCTACAAATCTGAAGATTTTAATTTTGGTTTAAGGAAATAGATTTGTAATACGCATATAGAAATATATATTACCATGATTTGGTTGTACCATGACTTCTTCTACAACAGGCACAGCACTCTGAGGATGCATAAACTGCAGTTCTACATAAAATATCAAGTCACTTGTAATTGTTAGTGGATTTAAAAAAAAATCACATTATGAGAAACATTTTTCGCCCTGTCTATTAATATTAAAAGCAAAGAAAAGTCAGGAAAAGTATGTATTTTATTCATTTTTATAATAATACATGTGACGCACATATATGCTAAGGCCAAAATTTGAAGTAAGGTCAACTGATGTAACTAAACCTGAACCACATAAAAATTTATCTATTTTTATAAATTTTTTTTAAATATAATTTCAAGTAATATAGCAAGTGATAAAAGAAATTAAGAATCCATAAAATTTGAGAAATGAAAAATAAAACAAATCCATATACACTATGCTTTGTGTGGTATCTTGCAGTTTGAGACCACTCTCAAAAGAAAAATCACACAAGGATACTAAAATTTATGTCCGAGCAAACAAAGAAAATATGTAATTCTATAAAAGAATTACAATCATTTTACATACATTGATTCTACTTCACTATCATACTTTATGTTCAATCATACAGTCAATCTGCACACAATTTTCTCAGAATATTTACCATATTATTCAAAAAAAGTAATACTAGTTTTAATTTCACCCCTCTTCTTAAGAAAAACATTATTTTATCTAATTAAATACTGTTTGAAATATCTAAATCAATTTTAGAAATTCATAATTTTAGAATTATATTAAATGCATTCAATCAAATAGCAATTATATTAAATGTAATCAAATAGTAATTAATTATATTAAATGCATTTAATCAAAAAGTAAATTAATACGAGCAATTTATTTGAAATTATGATATTATACATGAATTTGGTGACCACACACCTTATTAAACTGCCCAAATGGCTACCAGAGACGATCACACACCTTATTAAACTGCCAAATAACCTTTTTATTTTAATTCCTTTCACTAAAATACAGACTATTAGTTGGAGCTGTTTCCTTTCAAACTGTGTCATTAATAATAAAAATGACTAATACATCAAAGACAACAGAGGATCTAACCCTGTGTGGTCATGAGCAGGTCGAGTTCACATTCAAGATTTGCAGCATAAAACATAAAACATTCTCACTTTGCACTAAGCACTTCCACATAATGAGATGCAAACTGTATTCATAAAGCAGATCTTTTCAGTTGTGTGACTGGAATTACTTCTGGAATACATCCAGAGTTCGAGTAACATGGAAATTAATTGAAATTAACGAATACAGTTCAAATTAATAAATGCAACTTTTACAAATACTACATAATTTACTCCAAAATGAGAAATATATATAGCTTTGCACTTCTTCTCATTCCATGTTTCAGCAATAATTTCTGTTGCTGAAATGGCAGCGCAAAAGCAAAAGTCTGATTTTAAACTAATGAATAAATGGCAATAAAGAATTATAAAATATTCCAGTTTTGGAATAGCAAATAATTTTGACATGTCCAATATTCAATAGAGAAAACAACTGAGAACATGACATGCAGTGGTTTACATTTGAATAAAATTACTAAATGCCCTTCAGTTTCAGGTTGATATAATTTTACAGATGTTTCAGATACAAAAAGACAAGCATTCTGTTATAAAATACAGAATGTAATTTCTTTTGTAATAGCATTATTATTTTGTAACTGTTTACAATTTTACTAAAAATAAGTGAACCTAATGCCAGTAAAAGCTGTTGTCATTACTGCTATAGGATGCTGAGTATACCAGGAAAGTAATCACTGAAGACTTTTTAAAGAATTTCTCTGATGATAGACAGAAACATGATACTTTTAATCCGTGTTTACAATGCATAATAAAGTTTATAATGCTATTACTTCCTTGAAACTTAAAAATATTCATAAAGTCTGATAATGTACACAAGCATACAGACACAAAAATTCTCGAAGTTGTTAAATGTCATACTCAGTTTCAAAGCAAGAACTGTAACCTAAAAGCTTATGATTTTTCTGGTGTTAAAATGAAACTTAACTGTTGACATATTTATGAGTCATTGATAAAAATTACTTTGCACAAACTTATGTTTAGAGGGATGGAATTGTGCTACTATGCACGTCGTAGCTCTTAAAATTTTTACTCAAAACATGCAATAACACATTCCTACTAGTGAAGTTCTTTAAAATGCCTGTTAAATTATTTTCATGTGCCATTATAATTTCACATATTTATGCAAAAAAATAAGTATAAAATTTAATACCATTACATCTGTCATCTAAATCAAGTGTAGTTTCACCTAAAAAGATAAAAGTATTCTTACTATTTCAAATTTTGAACAAATTTATATTCTATACATATATATATATCAAACAATATCAAATTTTTAACTTACATTTGATTCCAACAGTAAAAGTAATAAAACTTGTTTTCAGTTAGTATATGAAGAATTAATAAAGGTAAGTCATATGCATTTTTCAATTCAGAAATTTGTTAGATTATTTAAGTGCACATGAGCTGTTAATCTAATTTCGTTCAAGTTCTACTCTAAAGACACCAGAGGATGGCTTATGAGAGTCTTACACTCTTCTCCCCCAAACTCATGAGTAAATTTATGTTTCAACAAATTTTCAGAGCTTTTATACTACCTACTCACTAGATGCCTATATCTTACCCAGGATTCAAGCATGGACTCAATGACATGGAAATCTGTGAGGGTGTGCTACTTAATATATCATCTGGAACCACCGCCCACTTTGGAAGAAACTAAAACTGCAGCTGGAAACTTTTACATTTTGATTGCATTATGGCAGAATCCTTAAAAAATGGAAATCGACTAAAATAAAAGCTACAATAAAAGCTTAACTATCAGGAAAGCTTGAGAAATACTGAATGCAGATATGTGAAAATTCTGGATAGATGAGCTTTACAGTAGCAAAAGCCATATGAATGCACACATGGCATAATGCACAATTTAGACTGAATAAAATATCGCATCTCAGAAAGTCAGTTTAGTCGCTACAATGCATATGTAAAGAGAAAAATTATGGGCATAGAAGTGCAAAAGATTTTAAGATATTTGAAACAGCAACAATAACAACAAATCCTTCTTACAGGTGGGTTTTGAAAAGGTGTTACTAAGACATTTCAGACAAAAAATACAAAACTTAGATATTTACTGCATTTTAAAACTACACAAAAATGAAAACTAGATATTTATTAGTAAAATAGTACACATATTAATAATTTTTATTCTTTATTATTGCCATGGATATCAATATATATGTCACCTGCATGGCTTATGAACTCTCCATGTACGAAATGATTATAAAGTAAGTCTAATAAATGAGCATATGGACATCAGTATGTGCGTCATCAGCATGATCTCTCCAAGAAAGAAATTACGATTATGTAAGTCTAGCAAATTAGCATAAACATAATGGTATACTAGTGTACTTACAGAAAATCCCATCGACCACAAGAGAAGGTGTCAATCGCGCTGAACCAAAAAAAAAAAAAAAAAAACATTTACTAAATACAAGAAAAACGTTCTATTCTTATTTTTCTTTCAAATTTATTATATTATCACTTATTTATATTTAATTTTTCATTAAAAATTTCCATCATTTTTTATTAAGGAGATATAGTGTAAAAGAAATTTATTTTCGCTAGGTTTTAATTTTTGCAAAAAATATGTCTCGCAAAATACTTTTTTTTTTTTTTTTTTTGCCTTAAATAATAAAAAGTCAAAAATTTTTCACGTATCAAATTTCAAGAAATTTTCTGCTCACGAAATCACCGATACCTTCATTTTCACGAAAATTACGACTTGCGAAAATAAGTGCTTTTACAGCGCTCACTCGAATTTATTGTGGTGACCAAAAATTCTGCCAAAATTTCAGTTAGAATAGCAACGAATATATTTTCATCCTTGTGAAGCCAACTTTGAAAATGTGTGATGGGGGGAAAAAGGAGTCTTTACTCAAGAATAATAATTAACACATGAATCAAGGTTACACCAAACCCAGTGAGTTTGAAGAAGACTTTTCCATTTTTGGCAAAAAATCGCGTAGTTTGGCATCTTTTCTTTAACAGGCAAAAATGGTCGATGGGATTTTTCATAAGTACCCTTTTTACATCATCAGAAGTGATTATTTTAAGAAATATGTTATAAATAAAAATACTTATGCCCATTTGAGTTTAACTCAGAATAAATTAACAGAAAATAATCATGTAACACTGTGATACAACATCGCACAACTGTTGCAATCCACAATTAGGTAAATTCTGCAGATCCATTATAAGAATAGAAGACAGGTCCAATCATGAAATATATAAGTTTGCAACTTAGACAGATAAAGGCTTTTTGCTCGAAAATACCTATTTTAGAAGCCATTCCAAACTCTGTTGTTATAAATTTGAACAAAAGTATCAAATGGGGCAGGCAGATGAGTTATTGTACTTTTAACTACTTTTTGTACAGGCTGTTAATAGGACAAAAACCAACTTTTGTCAAGTTAGAATGGAGCATTTTGCCACATGTGGAACGGAAGAAGAAATTTCCAGGTGAAAAATATAAAAACAATCATCCTATTTGTTATCAACTTAAATATTAAAAGTCTCATTTAAAATTATGAAAGATTAAAAATGCATTTCAGGCACAAAAGCCAACACATTTTGACAGCTTTAGGCACACAAAAGTGAAGCATATTATCTAATTATGAAATCTCTTCAATCATAAAATTTGGTGGAGATGCAGTCAAACTTGCCCCAATCATTCTGAGTAAGAATGAAGGAAGCGATCATTCATTATTCAGTTAGATAATGAACACATATTTCATGTTCCATCATCATGGTTTATCCATTTCAAACTGAATCCTCAAGCTTATTAACGTACACTTTTCTTGATGCCAGGATCCTGTACCTTTGAAAATACTCCACTGCGTGCTGTTTCATAGAAGACTGGGTCCAAATTTAAATAATTTTTTTTTTTTAAATGCAAGGGAGAAAAATGATAAAAAGCAGTTAATGCAAACTTAAGCCAACTTATCAAGAATCAATCGGGGTTACATAAAACAAAGGTGAAGATCTAATGACTGTGCTGCCACACAACGCTTATCCATGACTGGTGTTTAAATCACATGTCTTTGCATGCCCTTTTCCTTAATACAGTACAAAGTCCAAGATCCGGATGTTTAATATCCTCAATGCTCTAAAATCCGGACCCAAGAAACCCCCCTTTTTTTTAAGTAATTTTTTTTTTAATATACGCTTTACATATGCACTTTTCATCCCCCTCCATAAATTAAACATGTCAAGAGTCCTGATTCTTAATTTCACTTTGTTGCTAAATAAAATACCTTGTTATTAAAGAAACAAATAATTTTACCATAAATAAATTTGTGTGATCAATAATTTGACTCCATAGCTGCGTAACTGCTTGGCATACCTTTTAAACTGAAACTTTCTACATAGAAATATTGATTTTATGCCTTTTAATATTTTATATCCCTGAAGTCAACCTGGCTAATCATTATTTATTATATTTTTCTTTCATCACCACATGTTTATCTCAAACATGATAACTTGAGTGATGACAGATGCAGCAACACCCATTTTTTTTTTTTTTTTTTTTTTTTTTTTAAACATTGGTAATTGAATAACAAAGAATATGGGAAGCTTTTCTGTACAAAATATGATTACAGATTTAAGTTAAATGCACAAAGAAATGTTGACGAATTTAAAAAATTTTTCTTTCCAAAAATAGATTTTGTTAATAATACCCATAGGCCAAAAGATTACATTTAGTGTTATTTAAATTAAGAATAACTGATTTGTTACTCACATAAACCCAGAATTGGCGACAGTCACACCGGAAGGCATAATTTAGGGAAGACAAAATTTTTGGAATTTAGAGAAGCATCGAGCAACAAAATTAAGGAATGACAAAATTTTTTTAATTTAGAGAAAGCACTGGAACACAAAATTTAGGGGCAGCAAAACTTTAGAACTTAAGGAGGCACTTGGTAGCAGAATTTAGGATCTCCAGAGACTGTATCAGGCGGTTAGATATCTAGAGGCAGCCCTCCATAAGCCTCAAGTATATGTGCAAATTTATTTATTCAGGTCTCAGATAAGCCTAAGCATGTGAAAAAAATATACTTAAGTATAATAAATAACTAAATTAATGCAATTCAGGCTTGACCGCTTCAGTGCACAAAAGAAGCAAAACAAAATTTAGCAGAACTTGTCTTTTGTCGCCAGTCACATGATACATAGCCAAAAATGTATAGTGGACGTTATTAAGCTAGGCCAAAATTGTACTTTACTGATTCAAAGGAATTTCAGTTAATATAGCAGATTGCTCTGTTAACATTCTGATTTGATCCAGCTTATTATTTTCCCAGGCTGTTATTATTACAGCAATTTTATGAAAATTAAAGTTTGAGTTTTCGATTATGTCAAAAAGAGTATCTAATTCTGGAGGTGCAAAAGGATTTACAAAGCGAAAGCTTGTTTCGATGTCTATTAAATAAGTGGAATTCCTACAAAAAATGGATAGAGGTATATCCATCTCAAAATTATATGAGGAGTATGGCTTTGGAAAGTTAACTGTATATGACATAAGAAAATGAAGAAAGGAACTTCTTGAATTTTTGTGCATTCCGAGACTCCACTCACAATGAATAACAGAAAAATTATTCGTTAAGTTAAAAGTGATGATTGAATGGTCAGACAACGTCGTAGCGAAGGCATGCTGATTGATTTTTCCAATGGGTCCAATGATTAATGGCTCAAGCTAAAATATTTCATGACAAAATTAACTTAAAAACTGAGTGCACATATTCAACAGTTTGTCAACCAAATTAAAAAATCGCCATGGTATAAGTCATGGCCAATTAAAAATTTCAGATGAAAAAGCTTCAACTGAATGAACTGTAGCTGCTGAACTTTCTGTAGATGAATTCATTGAACTTGCCAGTAATGAAAAGCTATCTCCAGAACACATTTATATTTCTAATGAGACCAGTCGTTTCTGGCAATATGTACTGTGAAATACCTTGGCAACCTCTACAGAAAAGGCTCCAATAGGTGTCAAAGATTCAAAAGCAAGACTAACAAGTTTAGCATGCAAAAATGCTGCAGGAAAGCACAAGCAAAAACGTTTTGTAATTGGGGGGGGGAATACATGACCTCAAGCATTTAAAGCAGTAAAGATTTTTCCTGATGTATATCATGCAAATAAAAGAGCATAGGTGACACAAACATTAATGAATGACTGGTTTGAAAATCGTTTCATACACGAGGCTTGGTTACATTTGAATAAAGTTAGTTTACTCGACGATGCAAATATTGTCCTGATTGTAGACAACTGTACGGCTCATACTTCACTTAAGAGTTTTAGTGAAAGATAATGTATTTGTATTATTATTTCCTCTAAATTGAACATCGATCATTCAGCCTATAGATACTGGAATAGTGCGAATGCTGAAATGCAACCACAAAATAGCATTTTTTAAAAATATCTGTTAAATTTCCTTAATAATGGTAAGATTATTCAAGAATTTTTGAAATACTTTAGCATAAAACCTGCTGTGTGGAGCATTGTAAGATTGTGGGTGTGTCTCCATATACTTTAAAAAATACTTGGCATAATTTATGACCAGTTACCATATTTCATGCTAGGGATGATGAAAATGATAGCCAAGAATTTGAAGGTTTTTGAATATCGTAAACCAAAGGTAAATTTTTTCAATTAATGCATGTTATAAAGAAATGAGGAGAAGCAGTAATAAATGAAGATGATATATCAAAAGTTTTTCATTGCAGTTTTAATGCCCCAATCATCAATTAATGGATGGCAAAATCTACAGTATTGTTCTACATTCACAGAAAAAAGGTTCAATAAAAAGTGATTACATAAAACAAACACTGATAATGAAATCATTCAGAAATGTCAGAGAATTGCACTTATTTGGAAAAGGCCACTATTACAATCTCTGAAGAAGAGGTGATAAACATCCACAATGAAACATTAAAAATTACATAAAAGAAACATTAGTAATAAAACACTGTAAACTACATAAAACAGGAACAAGATATCTAAATTAAAAATGCAAGAAGCATTCAGAATAAAACACTTATCCTTTCCCCCCTTCATTCTCTGTTACTGGGGAAAATGCGAAAAATGCAATACTTTCTTTTTCATTAATGGGTAAATTACAAAGTGGCATTTTTATTCATTAAAAAAAAAAAAAAAATCCACACCCCACAACAAGGAGAAAAAAAAAAATGACCCTTGAATCTTAAAATCACAAACATGCACAACCATAAGTAGATTGTTAGATAAATACATTTTCTTAAAATTTTAGGTTATCCATGTTGGTGACATAGTGATTCTTATCAGAGCAAAGCCCATTATTAAAGAGTAATTTATTTTTAACTTTTCTTCTAAAATTATTGCAAACCTTTACTTGTATTTATTTCTAGTACATTTGATTTTAGAGTTGGAATCCATTTTATGGTTAAATAAACAATGAACTCTCGCAATAATGACCAAGTGACTAAACTAACTGTGTGAATATTGCTTGAATGCAAGTAGTATAGATTTTAGTTTGAATGTTATGGCTTTAATACACTTACATTAATGCAAATTTACCCAAGTTGTATACACTACAAAGTCCATAATCAGGACTCGTCGGGACTTTGGCGATTCTGGATTATTGGTTTTTCCAGATTATAGATCATTAATTTAAATCTGGTAAGATGGCATGCAGAAACTATACAATTAAAAATATGAAACCATAATTTATGAAATAAAGAGCAATTATGATCTAAAGGGTATCAAATTTTACACACACACACACACACAAAAAAAAAAAAAAAGCTTAATATTTATTTGTTTACTTTATTAAACATTTCTTTCAATGTAAGTTAAGTTGCTTTGTTTTTAGTGCTAATACTTTCTCTTTAATTCTATAAACAGACATAAATTCTTGTTCAGTTACAAAGTTTCACTGTTCAAGTCCTGCAATTGCTGTGTTGAGAATACTGACTAACTTGTCAATCGAAATTTTTTTGTTTCAAATAAATGTTTCGTTTCTGTTACTTTCTTCACTATCAGAAGCTATAAATGCATGCATTAAAAGCGCATGCGTAAAGTATACAAAAAAAAAAAAAAAAAAAAAATTCTGGCTTTGAGGTCCGGATTATAGATCATTTCGGAAAATGGACGTCCGGATTATGGACTTCGTACTGTATTATGAAATTAAGAGTTGTAAAATGCTACTGAATTACAATATATTGTACTTACCAGCAAGACTATCATAATTAGGACCATGTCTTCTAACTCCATCCACCACTAAGACAAAAGCACCATATTAAACAATTGAAATTAAATTTATTTAGATACAAAATTTTAAAAATAAATAAATAAAAATGGATACTAACTGCTTCATAAATATTATGATATAAAATAAAGAACACTGAAATAAAACAATATATATATTTTTAAAGTATATATTTTTTAACTTATAATCAGAAATTGACTTTTCTACTAAAGCCATACCATACATTTTTAACACCATACTGGCCTATTTTAGTTCATTTCTTTCCCATATTTTAGATTACATACTAGATAAAACTGCACTATTGGAAACAGCTTTTAGCCGATATAGTGGTTAGTGAAGCTGACTGCCATACTGAAAAGCCTAGGCATGGATGTTTCCTAGCATATACCATGCTTACTCTTGTAATAACCAAACCCCCATTTTGAAGCAGAAAAAAAATCGTCAAAATATTTTCTCTGCAAAAAGTCACAGTTGTGTATTTGATCTTCATCTAGAAAATAGAAAATTATCAGCTGTACTATTTCCAGAAAACTAGTACTCATAATGGAATGGATTATCTATTCTGTCACTTCCACTGACATTCTCAATGGTCACTCAATAGTGAGATAAGGAATTATCTGCTTCCCCTGGGAGGATGGGAAAACTCCCTGGGGCAGGACTGCTTATTCCCTCCCTCTCAGTTTAAAGCTTTCAACTCCTTCTTTGTTAAAGAAAGTATGTACATGCTCTAAATTTACTGGACTGCATGTATCTAAAGTTACAGAAAAAGAATCTGCAGAAAAAGACTGTTCTGCAGTAAATTTCGTGGTGTTGTCTTTTTTTTTTTTTTTTCCATGTGTGTGTTTGCTGGTATTTTGGGTGTTTTGTTCCTCCCCCCTTGAATATGGGAAAGTTTAGAAAGAATAATAGTTATACAGTGGGATTTAAACTGAAGATTACTGAATATGCTGAATAGAATGAAAATAGAACTGCTGAAAGAGAATGAAATGTAAGTGAAAAACTAATAACGGAGTGGAAAATATCGAAACAGTTGCTACAAGAAATAAATGTAAATATGCGAGCATTCAGAGGGCCAAAGCATGGAATTTTCCCAATGATAGAAAATAAACCTTTCTTATGTTCATGAATCTCCAACACTTTGGATGGAAAGTGTGCAGTATCTCCAACACTTTGGATGAAAGTAAAGATGACATTTTATGGAATGACGGAGATTTTTAAGATACCAATTCACATTACAGCAATGATACTGATACCTTCAGTGAAAATTATTTATTATGGTTTATCTTATTTGAAGTTTTTGTCAAAATTTTCATAAAGATTATTAGTTAATTTTATGTCTAAAAATATTACCATAATAAGTAAAATGACTTTTTTTGTATGCAACTAACAAAAAGACTATTTATCACACAGCACAAAATCTGGAAACATCTGGTAAGTTACCAATTTTATTATAATATATATCTGCTTAATCTTTGGATTATGGTGACTTGGTGATTTTTTTGGCGAAAATTTGACGGCCAACCCTGCTACAGCAACCTGCTAGTTTTTTTTTTTTTTTTTTTTTTCTGGATGCCATTTTGTTTTCACGAAGTAAAGGCATGTTTTTTTTTTTTTTTCCCCCCCTCAACATTTTTTTCCAACAATCTGCTAGCCGAATTGGGCTTATTCTAGAACTTTTATGGAACAAAACACGGTATCATCCATGTACACGTCGACCCATTTTCACTTAAAAAAACATCCCAGAATTGCATAAAAATGGCATTGAGCACACTCTTGACTTTATCCATGTACACTGCTAAAGTCCCAGCTAGTAACCTTCATCGCCTTACCAAAACTACCTGTTACCATATTCCAAAGATTAGCCATATATATTTTTATACCAGCAATGTTTTAACATTAGAGAGTGCAAAATATTGTGTAGTATACTTCCCTACATAATAGTCGCACCTAGACTATCACAATGAAAAATTGGCAAGGAAAAATGCATAAACTATACCAGTAAACATAACCTATACCAGTATACCAGTAAACATCTCCTATACCAGTAAACATTATAGTGTCTGTGTGACAAAGGGGCTCTCAAAACACATGGCAAGCTAAAAGTCCTATCATGAGGATGGCGGCAGAGAAAGAAGAGTGGGAGACTCTTCGACTGCCAAATAGGGTGTTCTCTCTCAGAACTGAGGTAGAACTGCACAGTTAGTGCAGTTAACTATACCTGTAAGACTTTAATGGTGAAATTTTGGTGTTTTGTTCACTTTGATTAGCATCTTTACTATTGGGAAAAAAATATTATGGGGAACGAACATGGCCTGTGTTCTTTCGGCACTTGTTAGTTATAGCAACCTTAGCAAGAAACAGGAAATGTCACATTTTAGGCTTAGTGAGAAACCAATGTTTACCGACACATAAAGAATTCCTTCAGTGTTACAGTAAATTATGCAGTATACATATACAGAAGTAATACAATATAATTTTGTTTGTTAAAAATGATTTTTTTTTTTTTTTTTTTTTTTTTAAATGTGGCAAAGCAGTTTGGAGAGGGAATAACAGATAAACACAGTTTCAAATGCAGAAAACAGCAATTACGAATGAAATAAATATGAATTAAAATTTACATTTGGTTTGTTTCTTGATCTGAAAACAATTTTAATACACTGTGGAAAGGCAGAATAAAGGATCATGGTACTATTATACTTCCTATACCATATAAATTTGTCAAAAAAGGATCCATATTAATTTAAAACCTGTTAATGATCACACAGTACAAAGTCTGACATCCAATATCTGGAATGATCTAATACCTGGACCTCCTGACTAAAAGCAATTTTATTTTTTTCCTTTTAGAATTTTTTGACGAAAAGGGAGAAAATTTCAAAGCAGCATATGCTTAATACTTCACACATGCACAAAAGACATTTTGTCATAACAAAGACATGCAGAAGGACCTTTAATAAGAAAGTACCACATTCTTCAAGCCCCAGACTGTAATTAAATTTCTCATGAAAAGTAGAATACCTATGAAGCAGTTACCAAAGTTTCAGAATACGTCAAATTCCATCAGGCATGCACATAAATAATTATTCAGGTGATAATGCACATAATAAATACTCAGTTTCCAACATCGCCATTTTCATACATGCTCTTTTTGCTGTACTGCAAATTCCAACGGCTTTTATAGAAAAATTATAACTATTTTTTCTCTTAAAGACAATTTTAAAATTTGTGCTTGTGGGATTTTCCTATAATAGAAAAAACAGAGATTAAATTTCTGTGGGAACACAATATTTTGCCCCAAACTGGCAAATGAATAATGGATTGAATCTTTTTCAAAAGTGATCACTACAGAATTTCCATCACAACAAAAATCCATTTGTAACTAGGTTTACTGCTTGTATTTTGGAATAAATGTACAGTTGAAATGTAAAATATGTGTGTATGTAACATATATTTTTTTTTAGGGAAAAAGGGTATTTTTCCGTTTTACCGGCGCAGGCGATAGAGGCGTAGGCAATAATGGTACAACTGATGCCAAATGGAATATCCTCGCTGATAACCTTTTACGCCTTATTTTCAAAACAAGTCGCAGCCATTTCTCATCAGATTGAATGTTTCTTTCAATACTGGCATACAATTATATAGAATTTTTACTAGATAATTCAGTTTTATGCTATAAGGCCATTTGCAGTAATTAAGTCAATTAGGATGAAATCACACCGCTCACCCGAAGGCAAAAATATATAAAAGGCAAAGTCATGGGTTAAATTCGTCAAGTCTAATGAGAATGCACTAGCGAAGTAAAGCACTGTGGTTTTACATAATTTCTGAGTAAGTTATTCATATAAATTGAAATAATTCTTGCATTTAAGCTTGCATTCCAAATTAAGATTTAGCTTGAAATTAATAAATTAATTACTGAGAGAATTAGATTTTTGTAGCTTAGTTTACGTGAGATGGGATCATGTTATATAAACCGGCAAATCAGGATGTTGAACCATGAAAGCATAGTAAATTCTCAAATTAAAATGCCTTTTTACAAATTTATTGTCTTTATTTATTGGCGTTTTACAAAATTTTAAACATTAAAATATAATGCCTTCAAAATAAAAAAATCTTAGAACTAACATTTGTTATGTGTATGCTGTATGCTGTCATCAATAATGAGATTTGCGCCGGCGAAACAGAAAAGTGCCAAAAAAAGTAATTGTTCTTTTTTCCATAAAATTCGCCAAACTACGTCAATAACTGTATTGTTGGTTGTGATAATATGTAAATACCATGAAATGCCATGTTAACTAATGGAAAGCTAAAGGATGCTGCAAGGTATTATCTCCCTCCTTTCTGCATGCCTTCGTGATGTAATGGTAGCACATTCGGTACATATCGAGAGGTCCAGGTTAGAGGTTAGAGTCTCAGTGAGGGCAATGCTCATTTTTCACGTATTCTTCCTGAAAAAAAAATTCTAACAACTTTACAATGTATACAAAAATGACCATATTGATGTTCGTAATGTCTGCAGATGGCTGTGACGCTTCAAGTCTGGTGAAACAAACATTATGATCATCCCAGAAGCTTTATGTGATTGCCGCAAAGCTTCTACAGCTTATCTGCCTAAGGAAAGCCATGCCTTCACAGAGGTCTTTCTAAGGCAAACTGGCTCATATACACTTTATACAGTCCAAAGTCTTTAATCTGGACTCATTGGGACTTCAGCGATTCCGGATTATAGATCATCAATTTAAATCTGGTAAGATGGCATGCAGAAATTAGAAAATTAAAAGTATGAAACGTAATTTATGAAATAAAGAGCAATTATGATCTAAAGGGTATCAAAATTTTTTAAAAAAAGCTTAATATTTATTTGTTTACTTTATTAAACATTTCCTTCAACGCGTGCATGCGTAAAGCATACATTACGCATAGTCGAAATTAGAAAATTGCAACCAGAAAACTATTTGATGTGTATTCGTGATATTTATAATGACAAGGAATTTGGGTTAATCTTTGGATTATGGTAACTTGGCGATTTTTTGGCGACCAACCCTGCTACAGCAACCTGCTAGTTTTTGTTGGATGCCATTTTGTTCTCACGAAGTAAAGGCTTTTTTGGTTGATCTTTGGATTATGGTAACTTGGCGATTTTTTGGCGACCAACTTTGCTACAGCAACCCTCTATTTTTTTTTTTTGCCGCCATTTTGTCTTCACGAAATAAAGACATGTTTCTTTTCTTTTTATTTACTGAACACTTTTTCCAACAATCTACTAGCAGAATTATACTTATGCTAGAAATTTTATGTAACAAAACTGCTTAATCATGACAAATATTAACTGCAAAATTGGGAAAAAGTGCACAATCGCAAACTCCTTGCACGTTTTTCAGAATAGCACATACACATAAACCATTTACACGTCGACTTAATTTTATTTAAAAAAAAATCCCAGAATTGCACAAAAATGGCATTGCACACACTCTTAACTTTATCCATCTACACTGCTATTTTCTCATAAATTACAAAAATGTGCATGAAAATGCAAAAAAATTCTGTGAATCATTAAACTCGGTAAAAAGCACATATATGAAATTACCTGATCGCGAAAAAGTATATACCCTTTCCAAAGATGAACATTTCCACGTATAAAATAAATAAAATATCCAAAAACTTTCACCTCTAAATTATCTATTATATTATAAACGTCACCAAAGAATTTCTACCGCAAACATTACAAATGGTTACAAATACTTAGTATCAAATATTTAAATTATTTCCATGCATGTTTACTTCAACTGAAACGTATACCAAATTCCTACAAACATAAAATTCACAAAATAACTATCATTTAATTAAAATATCACTAAACCATGTACACGTCGACTTATTTTTACTTAAAAAAACATCCCAGAATTGCACAAAAATGGCATTGCGCACGCTCTTCACTATATCCATGCACACTGCTTTTTTCTCATAAATTAGAAATATTTCACGAAAATGCATGAAAATTTTGTAAATCTTTAAATCCGGTAAAAAGAACATATATGAAATTACCTGATCTCGAAAAAGTATATACCCTTTCCAAAGATGAACATTTCACCTATAAAATAAATAAAATATCCAAAACCTTTTACCTCTAAATTATCTATTATAAACGTCACCAACGAATTCATACCTCAAACATTACAAATACTTAGTGTCAAATATTTAAATTATTTCCATGCATGTTTACTTCCACTGAAACGTATACCAAATTCCTAAAAACATATAATTCACAAAATAACTATCATTTAATTAAAATATAATTAAATTCAAAAACACTACTTAAAATATAAAAATCATTGCTAATAACAATTTTCCAATAATACCATATTATTTTATTTACTCCTTACATTTAGAACAATGCATAAAAATAATATCCTCAAATAATTAAAAATACTAACTTACCTAATCTTCAGAATCTTGATTACGTGTCCGATAAACTTTTCTTATTTCCTCTACTAAATAAAAAGCAAGCGTATGCGCGCCTGTTTCAGTATCTTTAAAATCATATTTATAGTTCACAGCAAGGTACCAGGTGAAATAAATAACTTAATAAAACATCTTTACTTCTATCTCGCACAGCCTTAAAAAAACACTTATTACTACCCCTTTCAATCCCACTAAATACCCATTTCGAATTCACTTTAGTTACGGCCATGGGATCCAAAAATTAACGAACACCGTTTCACACAACAGAGAAAAAAGCTAAATACAAAATTTCCATATTTTTCCCGATTTCCCCCTTTTCCGATTAAAGAACTGTAATTCGTCCATTAATGTCACATGACATATCTCATGATCTCTCATTTCCCTCACACAAATGCGTAATCGGAACTGAGTACTTCTCACATTATAACCAAAGTCCTAGGTAGTAAGTAACCTTTATCGCCTCTAAAATGTCGCCAAACTACCAGTTACCATATTCCAAAGATGAGCCGCTTTTTTTTTTTTTTTTTTTGTTAACTCAACGTTTTTTCCAACAATCTGCTAACCGAATTACGCTTATGCTAGAACTTTTATGGAACAAAAGTGCTTAATCATGACGAAGATTAGGAGAAAGTACAGAATCGCAAACAGCTTGCCGCGTTTTTAAGAATTGCACATACACGGTATCCATGTACACGTCGACCTATTTTCACTTAAAAAAACATCCCAGACTTGCACAAAAATGGCATTGCGCTCACTCTTCACTTTATCCATGTACACTGCTAAAGTCCTAGCTAGTAACCTTTATCGCCTTAGCAAAATGTTGCCAAACTACCTGTTACCATATTCCAAAGATTAGCCGGAATTTGATTTAAATCATATCAAAGACAGAGCACATCAAAATGAAATACTACATTTAGTAAGGAATTATAAGCCGAATAAAATAAAAACATCTGTCCTGAAGATGAGGATAGTGCTGACAGATCAACTTCCAGTTCATTGCGCTGCTACGTTCGACCCCCCCCCCCGCAAAGCAGCGTGAAATTGATAAACAGATTTGGAATGGTTAGAGAAACAAAGGATATGCCTTTTTTCACCTTTTTTGCAGCAATTCCACTTTTTGTTTGATGGACATCGAAACATGCTTTTGCTTTGTAGATCCTTTGGCAGCTCCAGAATCGGAAACTCTTTTTGACATAATCGAAAGTTCAAGCTTTTTATAGAATTGCTCTAACAGTCTGCAAGAAATAATAAGCCGGATCCAATTAGAAGATTAAGGAACAACGTAATCTGCAACATTAACTGAAATAATTTTAGCCTAGCTTATACTGTCCGTTATACATTAAACGCACATGCATAAACGCATGTGCAGAAAGTTTGTAGCTAGATCATTCCGCATTATGGACGTCTGGATTAAAGACTTTGTACTGTATATGGGAAAAACCATGAAAATGCCCATTCGTGGGATTTGAACCGTGAACGGAACTACCAGTGTTCAGCAACTTAAAGCTTGGCTACTGGTGGGCTGATCATCCCAGACGCAGATCTCAGTTAATGGGAATGGATGCAACTTGGAATAGATTAATTAATAAATTATTTGAATATCTCCATCTATGAAATAATGCAAATCTTATATACTTTCATGGTCTCTTCAGGCAGATTATAATTACTCCAAAACAACTGAAAACATTTTTATAAATTATCTAACCAAGTAAAAAAAGATACTTATAAATTATCGCAACTACCTTGACACAGTTTGGCAAACTTTAGGAATGAAAAGAACAAATTACTTTTATTGCAAAAAGTTATACATTACATACATACATATGTTTCAGTTATTTACTCACTCTAAAAGGTAATCCGTAAACCTAGTTACAAACAGATTTTTGTTTTTGCTGTGGTGAAAATTTCATAGCAATTGTTTTCAGAATTTAAAGCTTTAGTGATTTCAGCAAAATAATGAATTCCTACAGAAATTTCATTGCTCTTTCTTCTATTATAGGAAAATCCTACAAGCACAAACTCTAAAATTGTTCAAAACAAAAAATAACCATAACTTTTCTATAAAAGCTGTTGGAACTTGAAATACAACAAAAAGAACACATAACTGAGTATGTGAATGGTTACCTGAATAACTGTTATGTACCTTTTGTGATATCTACTAAGGTGGTTGCAATAATATGTTTACACCGTATAAAATAACATGGACATATTTTAACAGATTTTAAAAACTACTTGTAAAATTAGAGTGGATTTAAGGGTGTCCCTTGGATTATCGCTAAGTTGTTTCATTTATGGTAACCCGAATAGTTGAATGCTATGGAAACCCTATTATGACATAAATGGTCATGTGATTAAAGTGAATTTGAATGATGGGAAAAGATTTGGAAAGGCTTGTTTGTGTGTCGAATTTGAGATAAGAAGTACGTTGTTATTTTGTGGTTTACATGGTAAAATGGCTGAATGTAATTTGAAGTTTCTATACAATTTGGAATGAAAGGAAAAAAAAAAAAAGCATTAATTGACTGGTGTGTAAATGAAGGTTTACTTAGTAGCCATTACAAGTGCCCTGTTTGTAGAAAGGAAATGCGTATGGTCGAACGTCAGAGGATATTTTCAACTTATTTTTGAGAATTTATGTGGCAACACCAGTATACAGACTCTAGTTCAGATAATTTTAGTAAGTTTTGGGATGCTATTAAGGAATTTTGTTTGACGGAAGACATGGAAATTTGTAAATAAGGAAAGTGGATATTTTCTTTGTGTAGTGCTAAGATGAACTTCCTTTCTTATGTTATTTCATTGTTTGAGTTAAAATGTAGTTTATTGAGATTATATATATTTTTTGTTGGCTGCTCCTTTGACTTTTTAAGTGTATATAGATCGACGTGCACATGAACAATGTCAAGGGAGTGCGCAATGTGCAATTCTCTGAATTTTTTTTTTTTTGCATGAAAATAGGTTGATGTGTACATGGATACTGAGTTTGTGCAATTCTTAGACTTGTTATTTTGGATTTGTGTAACACAAAGCCAAAATTAAAAGAATTGCATAAAACCAAAAATTTTTTACGAGCTGTTCTTTCATTTAATACACTTAAACAATTACTTTTAACTAATTTAACGTACTGCTGAAATTCTTTTATTCTTACTCTATTTCAGGGAGGGAGGCCATTCTTTTCACTGTTTTCAAGTGCAGTTACAAGAAAAATGTCTCTTTCAAATTTATATATTTATTTAAAAAATCCAGTTATATTTCTGATTTATGTAAAGTACAGCACCAGAAATTTCTGTATTGTAAAATCATTTTATAATTTTTAAACATTTATACATTCAAGTAAAAAGCATATCATTCACTGAAAATCCATACTACATACTGAAAGTTTTCTTACCATCATAATGGCAATTCCTCTCTCTCACATAGCAATCAAGCAAGTATTCAATGCTCTGCGGTTTCTAAAATAAATTTTTCACGTCAGTAACTTGAAAGAACTTATTACTTTTGGCAGAAATTACAATATAATACATAAATATCATTACCATAATGTAAGCCCTCGTGAATTAGACAGCAGCTTATTAGCGTTAGTAACAAATATTAACAATAAAACTTCACAGTTCACTTCAAATCACTCAACTCACAAAGATAATAAAAATCTCCACAGATTCACTTTCAGCGCGCAACTTTTGCGCTTCGTACGAAAAAATCTAGTTTTTAAAATGAAAATGAAAGTGAACAGCAATAACAGCGTTCTTCTTCTTCTTCTTGAAGCTTGGCTTGCCTTTGGCGTCTTTTATGCTCCAACTCAAATATAATGTTAATTACATGTTAAACCACAAGGACGCATTCCCACCAATTCAGAGGAGAACGTCTGTCCGAAGACCAAACCCTTACACTAAAAGTGCTTACGAATTCTTTAGGATGTATTTGATGACAAATTTGCCTAGGAAATAATATTTCCAAGGTTTCTTATTACAATGTTTTAAAAGATCAGCTAAGAGGTCAATATTGCTGATTTTCATCTTCTTGAGCATAATGTTTCTGGCGCTATCGTATATAACAGGCTCCTATGTATATAACAGGCTGAATCATCAGGCATTCAGGATTCCAAGTGCGAGTATTAATGGAGACTGCACAGTTAGAGGTGCAACAATTTCTTGTGCTTTTTTGTGTAAAATAGGCGGATGTGCAGCTATTAATTGCTCAAATCATTCGCGGAAAGGTCATATATTGGTAAAATTTCCTAAAAATGAAGAAAGAAGAAAAATATGGGTAAAGAATTGCCGAAGAGAGAATTCAAAACCTAGTCCAGGCGCTCAACTTTCCTTAGTAAATATAATATTATTTATTTACGTCTTCATTTAGAGTTTATATTTTCTCCGATGTTTATAATGTGCAAGTAAAGTGAAATTCTTGTGTGCAATAACATAAGTATCTGCTAATTTCTGTCATAGTAACTATAATTAAATTAGTATAGGGTTAATGTACCCGTCGCCCAGAGTCGTAGCTAGGGTTTTCAGTGCCCAGGGACAACTGAAGATTTCGCGCCCCCTACTGCTTGCCAAGGATGGAAAACATTTAATTCTTAACTGTCGTAACATCAGTTTGGCGCCCCTTGGATTCTGCGCCTGAGGACAGATGCCCCCTTGCTCTCGTCTAGCTACGCCCCTGCCGTCGCCAAATATCGCCAATAATTATGTTTTGAATGTGGAAAAGAAATTTCTCTTCTAATTTAAAGCGCAGATTTTGTCTTCCTGTGCTAATTGTGGAATTTATACTAATGTAATATGAAAAGCCCTATATGAGCCTTATAGAGGAGCTTTATATCGTACTTTCTGCAGTGAATGACTGCATGTTCTGTACTGTCAATCATATAACATGAGTCACAAAATAGCGAATTCGCTCTATAATACCTATAGAACAGTTGATTCATGTCCAACATTTTCAATCTAATTTTACTGATTACTACTTCCATTTTCCAATCGATGTTTAATTCTAGTGAACATTACAGTAGCTGAATCTGCGGCCGGTTTAAGAAGTCCACCAGCTGTCGACATGCTCTCGATGAACCTACACGCATCCTCTGCTGAAAGATCCCCCGAGTTATTCATATTTCTTCTTTTCGCAACTTTATCCTCTCTTTCATTGAACCCTATACCCTTATGACCAGAAACCCAGATGACTGTGAGGTGATGGAAAGACTTAATCCGCTCGAAGAGCTTAAGAATGAGAGAGTTGGATCTTCTATGAACACAGCTCAACGCGCTGACTACAGATTTTCTATCTGTAAGAATAGCAATTTTATCGTTAGGATTCAGTTTCTCAAGGAGCTTACAAAGGGCCCAAGCCTCAGCTGAAAAGATGGAGCGTCTATTGTCTATGCGCTGACTGACAATCACTGCGGTACGATCTACAGCCGCAATGCCAATTCCGGTATCAGACTTAATAACAGCGTTATATGGGAAGTTCCACAAATGCCGCCCTTCCCCCCCCATACAGCAATTTTTACTGTTCCTGCTAATTTTTTTGTTAATGTCCAGATTTATTTAGGATTTTGGAGTAACTTTTCTAGGGTAAAAAATTGCAATTCAACTGTTACATCCTTAGGTAAGAAATGAAATTCCACAAACTTTTTCTTAAAGAATTATTTAGAATATTTCCTTTATTATTTATTTCCTCAAAAGAATTTATAGTTTTTATTATTTTATTTATTGTTTTTTAAAGAATTATTTTATACTTTTATGCAAGTTTTTAAGGCTGTGTCTACCCGTCCGACGTAAGTCCGTTACATGCAAAATCAGTAAACTACTTCTTATAGGATATTTTAGAATTGCAATAACGCAACAACAAACGCTGACGGTTCACGGAAGTTAGCGGGTGTCACGTAGCCGGTGGCAACGATACGTCACAAACCGCTTGTCTGGATTTTTATAATTGGATATTTTTCATTTTTTTATGTATAATTTCGACAGAGTTTAATCTAAAAAGTCCTTCTGTTGCTTCAGACGTAGACAAACACCTGACGATTGTAAGAATATACTAACGCGAGCTGCTGGCTTGTCCGATGGTAAAAACAGAAGGTTGACCAGCGGGTCATTGTTATTAGTAATTGCTCCCCTCCCACCCCATGAAGAAGCTGCCTTAATTTGTGTTTCGGTGAAACATTTTCGCATAATTGACTGAGAATTAATCTGAGTGTTGAAATATTATAACAAACCGTTGTCAGGAGGGTAGCCAGGGGTTTGTCTTGGGCGACCGGGCACCCTCCCCCTTCACCACTGCCTGTGCTTAAAAAAAGGGCTAAAGAATCCGGGGTACTTAATTTTAAGATTTGCTACTTATTATCTATATATTGCGCAAAAGAGAAACACAGTAAAATAATTTTGAGTGACCGTTTTTTGCATTCAGTTAGTGCGTTTTTCGAATTTCAGTTAAGTCAATAAATGTAGCAAAAATATTATACTTTTTTTTAATAATATAGACAGAATGTCAACTTCGATGCTTTCAATGCAACGAATTCTTTGTTTCCTTAGTCATCTAGCAATTTAAATTCTTTTTATTTAAAATGATATCATAGCGTAGTTGTTAAATGCGCAGATAGTTCATTCACTGCCAAGTATTTTATTTTATTTTATTACTAGCCCAAAGGAGAAAATGGCTCAGAGGTGCTATTAATTTCATTTTGGCACTTTGCGTTGGCTCACTATAGACGGCGTTTCACTTTCAAATTGTTGGCACCAAATATTAGAGCCCTGCATTACATTTAAAGAAATTAAATAACGAAAAATCTGCATTAATATATGTATGCTTCTCTCATTGTGAAAAAACAACTGTACCTAGAGACAGCCAATTTTGAATAACGGAGTCCCCGACTAGAATATGGGCATCTGGAAGCCCAAATTTGAAATTTGGAAAATGTTTTATTATCTATTTCGCATTTTGTAAAACTTTAATGACTTTTTGATTAACAAACTCAACGATTCCCAAGCGAGGAATACAAAACTGTACAAAAAAAAAAAAAAAAAAAAAAAAAAAAAAAAAAAAAAAAAAAAAAACCTTATCTCCAGCGCGCAAGATTGCGTATCGGAAATTTTTAAGGTATGCTCTTTTTCATTTACTTTGTGATAATGTTGAATTTAATTGCATTTTATGTTCTAAGGCGAAGAACATGATATTTAATAAATAAAGGTAACACACAAAACGTTAGAAAAACGTCCGTGGGGCATAATATAAAATCTGAAAGCTTTCAGATTTTTTTAAAATTTATTTTGTGTGCGTCTGTGTTCGAAACAAATAATTAGGTAATTACCGATTAAAAGGAAGTATAAAACAAGAGAATTTAATAGAAAGAAAAAAAAAGGACATAGCCCATTAGTGGACAAAATGTATAAGATTGCTGAACAGTGCTAGTTCGACATAGGTTAGAGTATCAGCAAACGAGCTGTTATGGTTTTCCTCAGTGGCGTAGCGAGGGGGGCAAGGCGGTGCATGATGCCCGGGCACCGCTCGTAGAGGGGCGCCAAATGGTCTCCAAACAAGATTTTCCGTAAAATTTCAGTTTTTTAATCGATTTCTGGAAAATATATGTAGTGGGGGAGTTGAAGATGCTAAATAACAATTCCAACGTGTTTTCTATATCACAGAACATTTAATAAAGGAAATCAGAAGAAGGTACAAATTAGATTAAATACAAGTGCCGTTTGATATAAACAGGATTCTGTATAGCTTTTGCCAGTCTTGTCACATAACCGATTAGTGCTTACTCGCACTTGCTGATGTATTATACAGTCAATTTACCACCTTCGTGTGGAAAACTACAGTTCCTTATTCTACACCATCAGGTGTAGACAAACATCTCACCACCTTCGCGTGGGATAGCAGAAGAAAGTCTTTGTCATACTCCTCTTTCACCTCGCTGCTGGCGCATCGGTGAGGCCCTCTGGTGGTTGTGTCGCACTTACAGATACTACATATATTTAAAATTAATAACTATTGTAATATAATTAATCATTTATTTTCTTGATTTGCCTGATAAAATGTGTAATAAAATGTTTGTAGTACATCAACCAAAACGCTTTTTCTGACCAATCATATTATGTTTCGGCTACGCGGGAATTGACGTCGAAAGGGACAATTCTCAGAACTCGCTCAATTCCACGAAGCACACGTAGCTACATTACCATTCTCACTTACTACAAAGACTTGAACGCCAAACACTAATCGATTATCGCTCAAATTGGGATCACGTGATCATTCAGAAACAGAACTTTCGTCTGATTGGTTGTCTCTACCCGGGACTGAGGTCCAGCCGAGACATTTTCAGTGAGGTTTGAAAAAATCCCGCGTAGCCGCAACATTTTTCCGTAGCTAGGCGGGACTTCGCTTCCAGCGGGGCTCTTTTTCCTAGGAATCCTCCCATTTTAACCAGTGCTACCAGAATCTCGTTTCTCAGAAACGTCCCGTCTAGCAGGGACTGTAGCCATATATGGTAACCTCTTAACGAGGCGATCGCTTATAAAATTGAGTTTCGTCGGCAGTAATGGGGCTCAACTGAGCATCCAATTGAATGAACCATAACGATGGGTCTCGGCGACAAAAAGGCGGTGGCTTGACTGCCACTCGCGCCAATTGTGAAGCAGCATCGTTGTCAACCACTTTAGATCAATCAAATATGCACAATAATTCTATTATAGAATATGCACAATAATAATATGTATAG